TTTAACATAATTTTAATTTAGATATATAGATGAAAAAAAAGAAACATATATTAATCAATGTGGGTGAGTGAGGTATTCGTGTACACCTGGCTGAATATTTTCGCTGGTTAAGTTGATTGCCACCCGGTTTAAAAGGCGATGGTACTCCGTTATCTGGAATCAAGGCGGGGACACCAGAAATGGGCTTCACACGTTGTGCCTATGTGGGGATTCGAACCCGGGTCTTCGGCGTGACGAGCGGACGCTTTAATAACCACCAGGCTACCCTACCGCCCCAGTCTACTATAGTACTTTTTAAATAAAAAACATTGTCATCCCATATTATGGTAATCGCAATAATTCCTAAATTTATAAATCATACGATTGGAAAATACATTGTACGTCGAGTTTCAATGATTTTAGTGATATTTGGTCCAATACACACAAAAACCAGCTTCTTGACGAGGGGGTGTGCGCGTATAAGTGGATCAGTCAATTGCCATGCCTATAACACAATGTCATCAGATGTCACAACATAACAATTAGCGTCTCATTGCTTTGTTATCATTGTTATATATAGAACAAAAATCGGTAGAGATTTAGTTTGACGATGGTGCACACTTCCACACAGCCTGCAATACTTTATCAGTGTCTTTGATCCGACTGAGACCATCTTCAGTTTACGCCATTAATTGTGAAAGGTTGTAGACGTCTCCTATGTGGATATAGGATCCCGTAATTCCGTGCTGGATGGAAATGACTGGCAGAACTTCAAAGGCCTTGTGCCAGTATAATGAGTGTTGAAGTAGATGCGTGTGGCGGACGTCATGCGCTCGCGGTTAAAGAAAGTACTTTGCTAAAATTGCAGTTTAGTAACACGTTTCTGGATCTACGTCCTATCTAAATTTTAAAATAATCCCTTGACTAACTAATGACGCGTATGTCCTGCTGAAAAAATGTGTACGCCAATTCCAACCGATCCTTTTTTAACCCCGCGCTGGGCCAGACAATCCAGTGGTTGGCTTTATGAGCATCGATCATCGACCCCTATTAGTCGCCTCTTACGACAAGCATGGGTTGCAGAAAACCGATTCTAAAGCCACCCTGGCACTTGCAATTTTGATGGTACACAAGAAAGCGTGTAGCCTAGTTTGCGCACTGTTCGCTTCCTGTTTACGCATAAGTTACGCTCTTGGCACGCAATGCGTGACCAAAAATGGCACACACGACGCGCATAGTTCCAGCATGGTCATGCATTACCACAACCACTTCGCGCATGCGTGAAGCAGTCGTGGTAATATTTGGTCACGCTTTGTCCCGCTTGACGCCACGCTATATAAATAGCAGGCATCACCCCAGCTTCATGCATCGTTGTGGACCTACAAGATTTTGAACACCAGAGAACAAGCTCTTATTGCAGAAAAGAACAGGTGCAGCACTATTACTTTTTGAAGACCAGCAAATGCAGAAAGAGCAGATCAAAGAAGAAGACGTAACCCCAACTAGAAAAAGGGAAAAAGGACAGTGTGGGTGAGGGAATGGTTGACTAGAAGACATCACTTCGGACATTGTGATCAGTTATTGACAGAGAACCATCCAAGAGGCTACAGAAATAACCTGAGAATTTTCCCCGACATTTCCAAGACATGGTGGAGAAGTTAACCCCTCATCTTGAGAAGAAGACCGCATTCATGAGAGAACCGCTGACACTCAAGCTGGCAACCACTCTTCGCTTCCTAGCCACTGGTAATTCCTATGCAAGTCTACAGTACAGCTTCAGAGTTGCAGCTACTACAATCGGCAAGTTCTTACCAGAGGTCTGCAACGCCATCATTGAGGTCTACAAGGACGAAGTACTCAGGTGCCCCAAACTGAAGAGGAGAGGAAGGAGGTTGCTGAAGCATTTAGTTCCAGATGGATCTACCACAACTGTCTGGGGGCTGTGGACGGCAAGCATGCTGCTATGAAGAAGCCACCCAAAGCTGGATCATTCTACTACAATTATAAGGGCTTCCACAGCATTGTACTCATGGGCCATCTAGATGCTGGATACAAGTTGGGACAGAGGGTGATGTTTCAGATGGAGGCACGTGGAAGAACTGTACTTTGCACAAAGCTGTCGAGGACAACCGAGCCACCTGGACCAGAGCCACTCCCTAACGATGACAAGCCTGTGCCACATCATTTCGATGTCCATAATTGGGTCTTTGCAGTGACATTCAGCCAATCCTTCTGCTTCATGTCGAATTCGGCCATCTTCATAGTTCCCTCATCCGCCCATTTGTAGTCCGGTATTTCTTTCTTGCTAACCTGTAGCCTGTTTTTTGCTGTGTTTGGGACTCTTCTTGGGGCTCTCCTTGAGGTGTACAAACACCAGCACTTGAGTGTTTGGGGTGTGTGTGTGTTGGGGTGGGGGTGGGAGAAAGAGAGAAAGATAAATCTCTCTCTCTCACCATGTCTCACACAGTTCGTGATCAAAGCGGGCCAATGCGTGACACTGCGAGTCTATGCGCGCAGGACTGGAAATTGACACGCTTTGATACGCACCGCCCGCAGTGTTTGCGAGTAGGTTGCGCAATGTTCACGACTAGTTCACGCAAGTAGCACGAAGATTATGCGTACTAGAATTTTCGAACATTTCAAAATTTTCTTTGCGCACTGGTACGCGGCCCCGCACAATTTATGCACACTTGACACAAGTTTACGCCGAATTTACTCATTGGCACGCAAAATTGCGTACCGGTGCGGGGACAAAATTCATGCAAGTGTCAGGGTGGCTTAACTGATCTTCACGGATATCCAGCCGACTGGTTACGGACATGAACGAGAACTATATAACTGTCTCGGACAAACAAAGGCAACATTTATAGCGATTCTTTTTTCGTTTGTATGATTATTCCACCACTTAGTGCATGTTACAAAGCGACTGCATGTAAATTGAGTCATCAAAAATTTGCCTTTTTATTTTAAGTCGAATGTAAAATATACCGGTATTGAAATTGTTTGATGTGTACTCACACTGGGAATTAAAATACACAGGGGAAAGTTCATCAGTACAGGGCTGGGGGGTCAATACACAACCACGCAACCGTAAATGGTTTTGATAAGAGGACAGACGCTCTGGGATGTAGGCACTCTGGGATGTAGGCACTTTAGAGACTTATTGCAGGGAGCACCAGGTCTGGTTTTAATGTGATTGCCCTCCACCCACTCCCAATCTGCTTGTCTTTCTGTACTCCTTCATGGTCTTCGTGGGAATAACCTTTACATGACAGACCAACTGATAAAGGAAAACTACACTTATCCAGGGATACTCTACAATAGTCTCCCTGACTTATCTAAGAGATCCTGCACACTCTTGGTGGGGGTGGGGGTGTTTTTTGTTGTTGTTGCACACACTGCATTTTCACCCGTTTTAAATGGTCATTAAGTACACTTTCAGAACAAAAGGGGGGTGGAGTGGTTGCGCACCCCCATCTGGATCCGCAGATACCTGGAGCTCATCGACTTATGGACAGTCTTGAATAGTAGTAGTAATACTATAATACTATCAAATTAGATTCAAATCATGTATATCAGAGCTACAAATAACCTTTTAGGTCATTGAGTTATATACTCGCTTATGTTCATATTAATTGGGTATCCTAATTTACCTTTGAGTAACCAAATAATTGTACCCACCTCTCTCAAACTCAATTTGGTACTTTGCCTTTTTCCATTAATTGTAAAAATATAATAAAGTCAAAATGAGGTTTTATGTGTTTGCTATTTATATTACATCTGTAATATGAGAAACGATAAGAAAGACTGCAACTTGCCAAGTTCATGTGTTGAAAAAGAACCTCTCAATATACCTCAGTTATTTTATCTATCCATGCACCTGTACGCAAGTTATGATTGACATTTTTGTGTGTACGCATGTAAGATAAAACGTACTGAGTATTTACAAAAATTCAAGCGTATTTGTACGCAATAGACTTAATAGGAATTGAGTTTTCACATAAATATTTGCGTAATTTACGCAGATAGGCAGCTTATCTGAACCACTGTATATTTATTCTCATTCTTATTTTGAAATACTCAACAAAGGAAACTTGTACGGCGTATGCTGTCTTGAGGATAGGACATTTAACGTACATAATTTCATGCTGACATTGCGAGGTTCTAACGTTACACTCGGGTGGCCGGCTCGCTGACTTGGTTGATTGACACGTCATCGTATCCCAAATGCGTAGAACGATGCTCATGTTGTTGATCACTGGGTTGTCTGGTCCAGATCCGATTATTTACAGACCGCCACCATATAGCTGGAATATCGCTGAGTACGGCGTTAAACAGCAAACCAACCACTCAATCTAAAGTTACACCCAACCCTACCTCAAACGCTAAAGGGTGTGCTAGGGTCTGTCTATTTTGCAGTCCCAGTATATAGGTTCAAGTCCCTCAAGTAGTATCAAATATTCAAACGTCCCCCTAAAACCACCTTGGTCAATATTAACAAAAATAAATCGATTCAGAAGCCTCAGTGTCCGACATGGTCTTAAGTACAATGTCATGACTTCAGTACGAGTGCGGCGTAAAACTCATTAACTCACTCGCTCAGGAGAAAACGAGCACAGAACATGGAACGCAATCTCTCTGTATACTAGTAAGTGATGTTATAAACATGTACGAAAACATTTAAGCAGTCGCACAAATACGGTCCAAGGTCAAGGTGGTAAACATTAGACCTGCAGCTAAACTTGGCGCTTGTCTATGAAATACCGGCGCTTTATATTTAGACTAGTTTTGCTTGTCCTAGAGCGCTAGCGATCTTCGCCTTTCTCCACAAGGAGCGATGGAGCGGGGTACCAGTCTACACTATGTTGTGAGTATATTGGTAAAAATTCCAGTTTTATAGCAGTCAATATGATCTAAAATACATAAGGCGACATTTTTTCATTAAGTAAAATTACTGAAAATGATTGAAAGTACTGAAATATGAATGGAATTCCTCCTTTATAATTGAGAAAACGAATCTATGAAATATATTTGACTGCGCCACTACTGTCTACTGGACAGCGCCATGTTGGATGGATTTATGTAAACTTTGAAGGTTACACAAGACGTTTAGCTAAACAGCAGGCATTCAGCATGGCTAGTCTCTGCAGGGTGACCCCAAACCTGCTGTCATCTATTGGTGAGAAGAATAATATATGTGCATTTTCCCTTCATGAAGTAATCAAAGCCTTTTATTATGTCTTTTTATCTCGTCTTAATGTCAATACATTGTGGAGCAAACATATCTTTGATTTAGAATTAGTTGATTTTAGTAGTGATTATTAACTTGATAGAGTGGGGATGTGAGATGACGAGTGAACTGTGGTCTCCTTATTCATAGATGCAACATGGAGTAGCCTACGGATTGCCAAACAAAAAAATACCCCCAAAATAATCACGATAAAGAAACATTTTGAGAGTAAACTTGACTGATAGTCCGTTTGTTGAAGATTCAGTGCAACACTAAATTAAGACTTGTGGCGCTAGTACGTGTTGTAGTTTATGACTCGGATTCACTATTTGCATTTTGTCGATGAGGTAGCCTTGTCTGTCTCGCAGAAGACACAGGTTCCTTAACGAGTACAAAGTGTGAAGAAACATTTCTTCCTTAGATCACGTAGACGATTATTTGTCTTGTTCCAGCGCGAAAACAGATCCCTCCCCAGTTGGCTCTTGCTGTGAGGTCCAATTCAACAGAAGCAAAGACAGAAAAGGTCTGAGGCTAACAAAGCTGACAAAATGAATATTGCGAAAAAGAAAATAACTTGTCAGCACATTGTTGAACTTAATGTATATGGGATACATCGTTACAAGAATGATATATATTGTAGCTTCTTCATAAATTGATATATGTACTTGATTATGTGAATTTCATCATCTTCATGATATTAACATGTTCATAACTGAGTATAACGGAGTTGCCATTTATCAGTTGTTTTGAGACCCGTGAAGATCTGGGGTAGAATAGGTCTTCAGCAACCCATGCTTGCCACAAAAGGCGACTATGCTTGTCATAAGAGGCGACTAACGGGATCGGTGGTCAGGCTCGATGACTTGGTTGACACATGTCATCAGTTCCAATTGCGTAGATTGATGCTCATCTGTTGATCACTGGATTGTCAGGTCCAGACTCGATTATTTACAGACGGCCGCCATATAGCTGGAGTATTGCCTAGTGCAGCGTAAAACTAAATTCATTCACTCACTCGGTTGTTTTGATGTAAATGATGTAAGAAATGCATTCATTTTGTGTGGTGATGTGATGCTATGGTCTACCTATGAGACTCTGACCCATGTAACTTCTTTATGCAAATGTGATTGATGCTGGCCTAAATAAACATAATAAAGGATAGGCTGGTTTGTACTGTGTCATGTACAGCTTTGATTTGAAACTATTACCATGCAGTAAAAAGCCCAGCTGCATCCAGTCAGGACAGCACATACTGATTTTGCAAGGGACAAATGGTATTTTGTTATTTTCATGCTTTTTGTCTACATTTGATCATGTTGATATTAATTTGAAAAGTTTAAAATGACAATCTGTCATAAAATTCAATCTGGAAATATACCTGTCTGAATATGTGTTTGCTAATTTAAAGGTATTGATTTGAGTATGTTTGTAACAATATTCTTCCTTTTCTCAGACTGTGTTTGGACCTTTGAAAGATGAAGACCGAATTTTCACTAACCTCTACGGTCGACATGACTGGAAACTCAAAGGAGCTATGTCAAGGGTGAGTTTGTTAGAGCATTATCCTGTTAACATGGTTAGTTTTAACCACAGTTGGGGATAAGTCCACTTGTCCATTGAGACCTAGGGTGCTGCTCAGTGGATAGAGAACTAACACATCACAAGATTTGATTAAAAACATTGGTAGGATGTGTAAAGCCCTCTGTGTCACTCACTCATCACATAATCATGATGATGTTCCAGGGCGACTGGTATAAAACAAAAGAGATCATCGATAAAGGCGCTGATTGGATTCTGAAGGAGATCACAAAGTCTGGCCTCAGAGGGCGTGGCGGTGCAGGGTTTCCTACTGGTATGAAGTGGGGCTTCATGAACAAACCATCAGATGGAAGGTTAGACATATGTCTTTGTTTTCAAGGATTTGGAGGAATACAGCTGATTTCTTGACACTTTTTCATTTGGTGATACATAGTGCAATGCTCTGTTTCAGTCATAACACATCTATACCGTCACATGTTGTAAGTAGTCATGCACTTAGGAAGCCTGTTTATTCAACATGTTATTCCATATTTATGTTAATCCATTTTGACTGAGACAGGGGTGTAGCCTAGTGGTTAAAGCTTTCGCTCGTCACGCTGAAGACTCGGCTTCGATTCCCCATCTGGTTACAATGTGTGAATCCCATTTCTGGTGTCCCCTGACGTGATATTGCTGGAATATTGCTAAAAGCAATGTAAAACCATACTCACTCACTCACCCATATTTACCATTTTTATATTGGTGTGATTGTGTACACAAGGTTACAAGAGGTGTTTCTGTGTTACCTGCAGACCCAAGTACTTGGTAGTGAATGCAGATGAGGGGGAGCCTGGGACATGCAAGGACAGGGAAATCATGCGTCACGACCCTCACAAGCTGGTTGAGGGCTGTCTGGTGGCTGGCAAAGCCATGGGGGCCAGAGCTGGTGGGTAGCAGCTGGATACGTAAATCTAGTGTCTGGTTATCCTGTTTTGTGGTTGAAGTCAAACATAATTGACACAAAGTGATATGCAGATGTTGAACACAGTGGAAAATTAACCAGCCTTGAATATACCAAACCTAGCTGGACTTCGAAATCAATTTGATATACAGTCAAATCCCGATGAGTCGAATCGCTGGGGACCAAGTAATAAATTCGTCTTATCGATGTATTCGAGACATAGGTATGTCTATGAGGGTAGAAAAAGGATGATCCAGTCCTAATTCCTCCACCTAAGCATTTGTTTACCTAATGATTTCCATATCACTAATAGGGGCACCTTATCAGTTCCAGTCTGATTAGCACAGACAGTGATTTCCGTAAAATCACTAATCTGCCTTTTGAACTCACCCGTCAATGGCGGAAAGGTGTGAGCCGAGCTGGTTTGTTAATTTGATCAGTTTGCTACACCAATCAACTTCTCATTGACTGACTTCGGCTTATGTATACAAGATTGCTGTTGTTTGAATCTCATGGGACCAAATTTCCTTCTCGAGTCATCGTGTGTATTTATGAGACGAATTCGTGTAACCGGAAATCAAATGATGACAACTATAACAGGGAATGGTCGGGATCGACAGGTACTTCGAGTTATGCATAATATTCGAGACACCAGCATTTGACTCATCGGGATTTGACTGTATCTGTAGACTAAAAATCACTGTTTGAATGAAATTTGACATTGAATTTGAAACTATTCTGTGATCAATATTGTTTCAGGTTGCTTTCCTGTGAAGTTTTTTGCACATTATGTTGATATTAGATGTTATGTGAGCAACATTCAAAAATATGTATGTTCAGTTATCAGTGTTAAGATCTAGATGTATAAAGAAAGATGAATATTACTAGATTTGTTGTAATATGTGAATGTTTTAAAACAGTTCTTTCTTATTTAGCAATTTGTTTGATTTCTTTTCTTGCCTATATTTGCAGCATACATCTACATTCGAGGAGAGTTCTACAATGAAGCCTCCAATATGCAGATAGCCATTAATGAGGTAATGCTTAGCTGCAGTTGACCAGATCAACATCTTCTTGATTCGATGCAGGTCACTGTGACATACCTGGAATGTGAATCTTTAACATGGTTATACATTCTCCTCCAGAGGTCACAGATATAGTAGGAATACACACTCATATTACTGACTCTCTGTGAGATCCTCCGTTATGTCCCCAGTACCTTCTGCTTGTCATAAGTTTTCTGAAGAGGATCAGGTTCTTACAATGTGTGACCTGGCTGATTGTGTGTCAAAGGCACAGATCAATACTCATGCAGTCAGATGCCTGACTGAGTGGTCCTGATCAATGGTCATGCAGTCAGATGCCTGACTGAGTGGTCGTGATCAATGGTCATGCAGTCAGATGTCTGACTGAGTGGTCCTGATCAATGCTCATGCAGTCAGATGCCTGACTGAGTGGTCCTGATCAATGCTCATGTAGTCAGATGCCTGACTGAGTAGTCCTGATCAATGGTCCTGATCAATGCTCATGCAGTCAGATGACTGACTGAGTGGTCCTGATCAATGCTCATGCAGTCAGGTGCCTGACTGAGTGGTCCTGATCAATGGTCCTGATCTATGCTCATGCAGTCAGATGCCTGACTGAGTGGTCCTGACCAGTGCTCATTCAGTCAGATGCCTGACAGTGGTCCTGATCAATGGTCATGCAGTCAGATGCCTGACTGAGTGGTCCTGACCAGTGCTCATTCAGTCAGATGCCTGACTGAGTGGTCCTGACTGGATCAATGCTCATGCAGTCAGATGCCTGACTGAGTGGTCCTGATCAATGCTCATGCAGTCAGAGCCGTCCGCCTCGAGAGCGGAAGGTCGCGGGTTCGGATCCCCGACCGCGCCATACCAAAAGATCGCTAAAATATGGTACTTGTTGGTCCCTGCCTGGCGCTCGGCATTATGGGTACAACAAGGACTGGTCGCTCGGAGTCAGTATAATGTGTCTGAGTGGGTATTCATGCTTCACTGCGCGCATGGTATCTCAGCGGGCTAGCACTATAAAACCAGCTTCAGTCTGCTAGTACAAGCAGCCGCACATACACATACACACGCATGCACGTCGTCATATGAGCGAAATATTCTGATCAATGCTCATGCAGTCGTGAAGAGGATCTGACTGAGTGGTCCTGATCAGTGCTCATGCAGTCAACCAGTCAAAGAAACTTTGCACATTCAGACATGGTACTCACATTATCATCTAACAAGGTAGCATGTATTTGTGGTATAATAGACAGAATGTGTTGTGTTATTTCAGTCATACAAGAATGGCCTGATTGGAAAGGATGCTTGTGGCTCAGGTTACGATTTCGATGTGTTCGTGCACCGTGGAGCTGGAGCCTACATCTGTGGGGAGGAAACGGTGAGTACCGTAATTAAAACCCAACACTATACAGTATTGCATTGGGTTTTCAGATATCAAGTGGCAGAACAAACTTGGATTAAACATTTTTTTATAAATAATTGCAAGACAACTGTATATTCCTTGTTATATGCTGTGTTGTCTGTAAAAATGACTGTAGCACACATGAGGAATGCAGTGTAAATTATCAGGTTTATTACAGGAACTTTATGAAGATTAATTACAGATTGGTCTAGAAGTTGATAAGGGGTTGCCTTTTGGAGTGGAGGCTTAGAAACTCGGGAATATGCTTGCTATACAATTTTCTGTTTCAATTAGGCTTTTATTAACGGTTTATAACCTCTTTCTATGACCAATCTCCTGTGAGAGCGGAAGGTCGCTTTGGTTGGATCCCCGACCATATTGTAAAATATATTGGCCATGTCATGTAAAAGAGCTAACAAATCGTTAAAATATGGTACTTGTTGGTCCTGCCTGGCCGGCATTAATGGGTACAACAAGGACTGGTCGGCTCGGAGTCAGTATAATGTGTCTGAGTGGGGTATTCATGCTTCACTGCGGCATGGTATCTCAGTGGGCTAGCACTATAAGACCAGCTTCAGTTTGGGCTAGTACAAGCAGCCGCACATACACATACACACGCATGCACGTCGTCATATGAGCAAAATATTCTCAAGCACGACGTTAAACCCAATTTCACCTCACCTCACCTCCTATGACCAATCTCTTTCCAGTTTTGTTGAAGTAATGTGTAAGAATATATGTGTTTGCCTATGCAGTAGATTTTGTTTCAAATGGTACCATTCACCTGTGTTTTATTCAAATTCCATTGGTTGAGTTGTTTCAGTGATGTGGGATATATGAATGTATCCATGGTAACATGAATGTTTGTGCGTGCAGGCATTGATTGAGTCCCTGGAAGGAAAGCAGGGTAAGCCCCGTCTCAAACCACCATTCCCTGCTGATGTCGGAGTTTTCGGCTGTCCGACAACCGTAGACAACGTAGAAACAGTGGCAGTTGCTCCGGTAAGCCTTACACAATCGTTGTAGTGTTTTATGCGCATTATCATTTCATCAACAAAATCATTATGATGTGAAATCTGTTTGGTTTGTCAACTTCCAATTTATGCAACTGTGTTTTAACAGGAATACATTGAATGATATGTCAGTTTATGATATGTCATATATGAAGATGAGGTTGTTTGTGTCATGTCCCAGATAATCTGCAGACGAGGGGGAGACTGGTTTGCTTCATTTGGAAGGGAGAGGAATCGTGGCACCAAGGTATTTGTTTATCAAGTGGAGGTTTTTGTTTGTAAATGTATAAACAATTCATATTATCCTTCTGTAACCACAGTCCCCATATGATTTTATGTAATTCTGAATCTCATTCATGTGTGTAACTCTGAAAGGTGGGCCCAGGTGGGCCCAGGTGTCTAAGATGTCACAATTTGCAGTGCAGAGTTGTGGCCCTTTGGCACACCATTGAGTCCTGAGTGTAGGTTTGAATCCCAAATTATTGGATTGTGTTTCTAGGTTTGTCAGAAAATAGTGGGTTTTCCTCCAACATTCTGATATACCTTGATGTAACTGGAACAGTTTACAAATTGGTGTTAAACCCACCCACTCGCGAGAGCTGAATCTTTGTAAATAATATTTGGTTTTCTGTTTGTAGTTGTTCAACATCTCTGGTAATGTCAACAACCCCTGCACAGTTGAAGAGGAGATGTCTATTTCATTCGCGAGAGTTGATAGAGACACGCTGGGGTGTGATCGGAGGGTGGGAGAACCTACAGGGTGTCATCCCAGGTGGCTCCTCAACACCACTCATTCCCAAGAAGTAAGCTGAAGATGTATTGTTGATGATTAGCTGATATTTTTCCTTGAGCGAGTAAATTACCAGAAATTGTGATGCACGAATGTCTGAATTACGAGTTTCAAACAAGTATACTGCTTTGTGTGGTGTTTTGTGTCGCTGATTAAACCATTTGTTTGTCAGGGTCTGTGATGACGTCATGATGGACTTCGATGCACTGGTCCAGGTTCAGACAGGTCTGGGAACCGCTGCCCTCATTGTATTCAACAACCAGGCCGATATCGTGCGTGGCATCGCAAGGCTGATGGACTTCTACAAGCATGAGAGTTGTGGACAAGTATGTTGGTGGATGTTTCTCAGCAGATCCTTTGTGAATTCAGTTGAAAGTTAAACAGGTTGGGGTTGCGGAAGTGTAGATAATAACTTGTGTTTTGGGGAAGAACTTCCTAGATTGAGCGTGTCTCCATTCTGTTATGATAAATATCCTGAACCCAGTTGCCATCATAACCTTCTGTTTAATTCACTTCAAATCAAATGATAATACGACTAGTGATAATTTCTAAATTCTCCTTGTTGCTGGACATCTCTGATACAACTGGGAATGTTTTGTATCATACAGACTTCTCGCACCTGTCTAAATACTCACGTACACATTTGTGATCCAATTCAGTTAAATATATTGTGTCTTGTATATGTCACACTCATGTTTATATGAGACATTTTGATTGCTTGTTGATTTCAGTCGTTTGTTAAGGAGAAACACGCTGCTAGGTTTGTGGTAGGAGGGACAGAGATAGTGACGTTACCTTGGTGAAGAAATATGTCATTGTTGAATTATATATACATATATCACATAGAAATTGAGATATGATACAATTGATAGATAATGATGAGGTACTTGTTCTGTGGTTTCATTCAGTTGTTTAGTGATCAAAGTTAACAAAAAAAAATAACCAAGAGTGTATTGGTCCTTATTAGTAATAGTGATGAAATCAGAAAATCAATTTTACAGTGGTCATGATTAAAGTACTATTGCAGACAACACAGGGATGAATGTTTGTTGTACTGTTGACAGTGCACCCCATGCCGAGAGGGGACTGGCTGGATGGTGAAGGTCATGGACAGATTTAGTAAGTAGTGCGAACTTGCCCATATTTGGTGTCAGCTCTGGAACTGCATTTTCGAAACATTTTAATTTGATTTTTCATTTGAGAACAAAACAATCCCATGGATATGATAGGGAGGATATTTTTTATTATCTCCCCTTTTTTAGCCTACCTTTTTGCCAGTTGGTTTGATTGTCTCCCTTTGACTTCAGTGACAGGTAATGCTCAGCCAGATGAAATTGACATGCTGTATGAACTGACAAAGCAGATTGAAGGACATACTATCTGTGCTCTTGGTGATGGGGCAGCATGGCCGGTACAGGTAGGTCTGATCTGACTATTGACTGTTAATTTTTTAATTGGTTAAAATTGCTTGAAATTGAGAAGATAAACAACTTTCGATAAACATTGAGTATACATAATTATATAAATGAATCTTTCTGTTAAATGAGAAAATGTATGATTAATAAAATGGATTTGAGTGAGTTAGTAAGTATGGTTTTATGCTGCTGTTAGCAATATTCCAGCAATATGAAGGCAGGGAACACCAGAAATGGTCTTCAGCGTGGGGAGCTAAAGCTTTAACCACTAGGCTACCACACCGCCCCTAAAATGGATTTGGGTTCAGATGTTCTATTCATTCCGTCACACTGAAAATATTTTGGGGTAAAACACAAGGAAGGAAAACAGTTCAAATTCAAGAAAGTACTATGTAGTTATTTTTATACATATGATCCAGTTAATTTGTTACACTGTAATAATAACAATTGTCAGCAACATATGCTTCCTCCTGTTTTCCATTGAAGTAATAAAAGTCCCTGACCTGTGTAGCCTAGTGGTTTAGGTGTTGGCTCGTCATACCGAAGACCCGGGTTTGATTCCTCACATGAGCACAATGTGTGAAGCCCGCTGTGCTATTGCTGAAATATTGCTAAAAGCAGCGTAAAACTAAACTCACTCACCCTGACCTGTGGACATTAGGCTCTCTCTCAAGGTTAATCAGTGTCATACTGATCAGAGCAGCGTTACACCAACCACTCTGATGTCTGTACTGATACTTGTGTTTCCAGGGCCTGATCCGGCACTACAGGCCAGAGCTTGAAAGAAGGATGAAAGAGTTTGAACAGAAGAAGGCTGCAAGTTCCTGAACACGGATCAACATAGGGGAACATATGAACTGTACAGTGTAAATTATTTTCTGGAGTATTGTGGTATTTCAATTCTGTCTATAGATATATGATGCTATAGATACTGATGAAGTTTATGACAGGTTTGACTTGAAAGGCATTGACAATAGTGCATAACATTTGCACAGTGGCTTGTGAATGACAATTTGATATGGAAAAGTGAAACATTGTATTGGCTTACTGTTAAGATGGTATGGGTTTCATTTCTATGAGTGAAGCTGATTTAGAATAAGCTACCTCTGAGTTAAGTCCTCCACCTTCTCAGTCAGAGGTTCTCAGTGTGAATGTGACATATTTAGGGCTTCACTTGTTTACTTAAAATACCACTTATGACTCAAGAATGTCCAGTGGTTTACAACACGGAGTTATGTTTAGTGTAATAAAATATTGTTTTACAAAGTTAAATCTATTGAGTCTTTATTTGTATTAATTTCAGTAAGTGAGTGAGTTTAGTTTTACGCCACACTCAGCTATATGATGGCGGTCTGTAACTAATAATGGAGTCTGGACCAGACAATCCAGTGATTAACATCATGAGCATCGATGTGCGCAATTGGGATACAACGACATGTGTGAACAATGTCAGGGAGCCTGACCACCAGATCCCATCAGTCCTTAGGACAAGCATGGGTAACTGAAGATCAATTCTAACCTCGACCTTCAGTGGTAAATTTCAGTAAGCATTGCAAAGGTACACACATTAGTCTCTTTTCCAACTGCTGCATCGTTTTGCTCCCTGGAACCAAATATCTGAATATTTTGTCATGAATTGTCTGTCCATACACTTCTCTGAAAGGACTGATGCTGAAACTGTAACGACCCAGACAACTCTTGTCATGGACACTGCAGACAGACATCTTAACAGATTTTACAAAGGAGGTGAGGTGAAATTGGGTTTAATGTCGTGCTTGAGAATATTTCGCTCATATGACGACGTGCATGCGTGTGTATGTGTATGTGCAGCTGCTTGTACTAGCCCAGACTTAAGCTGGTTTTATAGTGCTAGCCCACTGAGATACCATGCCGCAGTGAAGCATGAATACCCCACTCAGACACATTATACTGACTCCGAGCCGACCAGTCCTTGTTGTACCCATTAATGCCGATCGCCAGGCAGGGACCAACAAGTGCCATATTTTAACGTCTTTTGGTATGACGCGGTCGGGGATCGAACCCGCGACCTTCCGCTCTCCGGGCATTTTACAAAGGAAGATAATGTAGTTTTCAATCAGAATATGCTCCCAGTATCTCGTGTGTCATAACTGCCAGCTTACAGAAATCGTGGTTGGGCTGACAGTAGTATGTTATGGCATTGTGGCCATGATTGCTGTTTCTCTCACTGGAATCTTTGTCCAGACTACCATGATGTTGATGGCATATTGTTGGTTGTAGCATCAAGCTACACTCACTCACTGACAGACACTTGTAAACTTTCATGTGTATCATGTTGGCTAGACCATACACTGCTTGAAGCAACTTCACTTGCTAGTTTCAGCTGTGCTGCTTGTATAACGTGTTCAGAGAATTCTGATCGGACATTCTAAGAACCTTGAGAAGGAAGACTTTACCCAACTAAAGATCTACTGATCAGGACCTAGTCTTCTTTAGGCATCAAAGCACAAAGGGCGGTGGTGTCGGAGGTATATTGTGTACATGTATAGCTGACCAAGGGTTGTGGGAAACGTTTCTTGTTATATTCCCATCTTGTAACACGTGGCAATAATAGGTGCCACCCTCGGTTTTGTGGAGTATAGGAAACGTGTCAGACTAACACGTAGGCTCTGAAAATACAGAATTTTGATGGAAACAAAACACTGCCTATAAAATACTAACCACATTTAGATATCCCAAAATGATATCCCAGAACTGTTTTAAATAAACTGCTATTACTGCATGATCAGACTGTAAAACTAACAGGGCACCGTATAGTAAGCATTAGCTTTATTCATGTGGTTATGTAATGTTATTGTAAGAAAACTACTTGCATGTTCCAGATCACTTCCTGAGGCTTTTGGGGGTAGCCTAGTGGTTAATGCGTTCGCTCGTCACACGCCGGAGACCCGGGCTCGATTCCCCACATGGGTACAATGTGTGAAGCCCAGTTCTGGTGTCCCCCCGCCGCGATATTGCTGGAATATTGCTAAAAGCGGCGTAAAACCAAACTCACTCACTCCTAGTTGCTTTTCTTCTGACTTTAAGTATTCAAAATTGACACCGTTCTCTATCATTATTAAATACACTGACAACTTATTTCCATCTTTAAATGTTGCTTTCTTAAAGATTAATGCGTATATATTGTCTAAAAACATTGAAATCCTTCAAATTGCACTTGGGGCGGTCGGGTGGCTTAGTAGTTAAAGCGTTTGCTCGTCACACCAAAGTCCCTTGTTCGATGGGTGAAATGGGTGAAGCCCATTGCTGGTGTCCCCCCGCCGTGATTTTGCTGGAATATTGCTAAAAGCGGCGTAAAACCATACTCACTCACTCGAATTGTACTTGCAAGATTCACGTGGAGCTCACGCAATCGAGAGAGATCACAGAATTTGATTCAAACACTAGAAAAGAAATATTATTTATTACTTGTATGTCCGTTCATGCTGATCTCAGAGAACAACTCGCTTGTAATCAATGTTATATTCTTTAACCTAGTTTACAGAAATTTGCTTAGATAATGTCAAGTCACAATGTTGTAAGGAAGAGAAATAGCAAATACATAATACCTGCTAAGAGTGAGTGAGTGAGTTTAGTTTTACGCCACTTTTAGCAATATATCAGCAATTTCAATTCGGGGGGACACCAGAAATGGACTTCACATATTGTACCCATGTGGGGAATCGAACCCGGGTCTTCGCGTGATGAGCGAACGCTTTAACCACAAGGCTACCCCACCGCCCTATGAACCTAAGAAGTTCCACTTGTTAAATTATGATTCTATGTACACCCATAACCACATTACATGTATTAAAGGCCTATGACCTCTCTGTATTAAGACTGACTGACTGGGTTTGGCTTTACGCCGCTTTAAGCAATATTCCAGCAACATCACGGCGGGGGACACCAGAAATGGGCTTCACACGTTGTACCCATGTGGGGATTCGAACCCGGGTCTTCGGCGTGGCGAGCCCACGCTTTAACCACTAGACTACCCCACCGCCCCCCTCTGTATTAAGAACATCCACATGACGATAGGATTCAAGGCAAATGATTGCATTCTAGTCATTGAAAAGGACAAAGCATCCATCCATTTGAATTAAATTTTCAACATATTTCAATGCAAAGTTCTCAATGGCAGTTAAATTGTGAATCGGACCACTCAAATGTACCAGATACAAACTGAACTGAACTGATGTTTCTGCAACTATAATACATGTATTGTTAGAGGCTTTAATGAAATCAGTGTTCCTAAACATGTGGTGCAGTTGCCAGTGCTGACGAAGTATTTCTCTGAGTTCTAAAGGGGAGGTGGGGTAGCCTAATGGTTAAAGCGTTCGCTCGTCACGCCGAAGACCCAGGTTCGATTCCCCATACGGGTAAAATGTGTGAAGCCCATTTCTGATGTCCCCCGCCGTGATATTGTTGAAATATTGCTAAAAGCGGCGTAAAACCGAACTCACTCTGAGTACTAAATACACATTAGCCGGAAGCGTCCGTTAAATCTCCAGTATGAAAAAAACCCAACGTTTAATGTTCAATGCCTGTATGTGATTTCCAGGATTTTAAGTATTGATTTGTGAAATGACTTAAGCTAACATGACAAGCGTGTATGAAAGGAAATGGAGATAAAGTTAGTGACACTCATCGCCCTAGTGTTTGCAAGGGTTTTTCTTGTCCATTACACTGATGGAGACTTAGGAAATCAGGTTCCTGAATATGTCTCTTTGATTCTGTCTTAACTGATGCTGCACCAGAATAACTGCTCACGCGTACTGTCTCTTCTGTGAGGCAATTAACTGAACATACTTTGATGTTACAATCTTCTGAAATAGTTAATTGGTGTGGGGAATTCGGATTAAGTTACTTTGTCTGAAATGAAAGATCGCCATTTGAGAGGCATGGATGAAGAAAGGTTGATCTGATCGGGCGCCCTTAATGTGAGATTTGCGTCCGCCCACACATATCAAGGGTGTGAATGTACAAATTAACCCCTAAACCCTAAGAGTTTTATATGTAAACGAATTGAAGTGTTCAGATGCACCTCGATATTTAAGACAAGTTAACACATCAACACAGACCATTCAGATGCATTTTGCAAGCACGGATAACCGTATTTAGAGAAAGGGTTTAGGGGGAGATGCACTTGTATTTGTGTTTGTGGGCTAACGACTAGTTAAATAATGGCGTGTGTTTAACAACGTGTCACCAAATGATTTAACTTATTATTCGTTTGCAGTGCTTAAGTCAGTATGATTAGTTTGCTTCCAAATGCATTTCTTCCCCTGCGCCTAATGTACAAAGTAAACATATCGTAATTTCACGAGGTAAAAGGGGTGCATAAACTCTTAGCGTGTAATTAAATACTTTAGATAGAAAGCAAAATCTTTTACGAATTTAGCAATTCTGATTTTTTTATCCACCAGAAATGCCACAGTAGTGTTACTAAAGCTGTTAAAATTTAAAACTCCGTGTCATCGACAGCCGACTAAGCAAGGAAGATGGCATAGTGTAGTAATCAAATGGCCATTCTTCACTTTACGTTATGGTATTAACCAAGCTGATTAATACCACTTCATGTCAGTGTGAATGTGTAACTACATTAGGAACTCATCCATATCTGTCTGTTTTATGAAAGGTGAAATAGTGAAATAGCTGCTCGGAGTTATCCCCTCATTGTCTAGAATGGAAGAAAGTTATGTTCTGAGAGTCATCGATAACACCCTCTTCGGGCATCGTTAACACTGCAAATCTCCCTGTGGATGGGGTCCAGACTCTATGTTCGAGGGTTCGACGTCCTGATTACGTATCTGTGGTCGTCGGTTCTATACCCGCTCTCATGGGTTCAGACCTTCTTTAGGTCGGTCTTTCCCAGTACCAAACTGAAACGCCGTGATTTAACCAAAATACAGTTAGTCCAACCGAACTCACTCCGGGTGTGTAGCAGGTCAACATACCTCTTGATACCAACTGACGGGACGGTCTGTACTGTACAACTCGATTCTTATCAGGAGGATCTTTAAGTTAATACTTTTATCAGGCCTTAAATCCGGGGTATGTGTGTATTATACACTGCAGGTTCTGTATGGGCAACGTGTATGTGTCCGGGCTTCTGTTTTGATTAATAAAGTAATGATTATGATGGTATTTTATCTTGCTATACAGGAAATCGATTGCTGATACTGACTGCACTGGGAAGGTTGTCATGACTACAAAACGATGGAACACTTCCTCACCTTTAGGCATGGATATGATCAAACCCGATTTGAATTATGGCTGTGAAATCGATGTCTATTACATCCACACTCCACCCAATGGCGGCATGTATTTCCGTGTTTTTCTACCTCTGTGGGAATTCTATGGAACACCGAAAGGGAAATGTTAATTTCCAATGCGATGTTTTTTCTCCGCCAACGCAAATCTCCCCTGAATCAAAGTGATGAGCTGGTGCCTATGAGATTCATCTGTGATGTACACAGAGCACCATTTCTTCAGTAAACAGGCTGCCGTTGTACAAAGCTATCTTAGCGCTATAAGGTGACCGTAACTCCCATACCTCACAGTCCCTGAACAATACTTCCTGTTCCACCCAGCACTACTGTAATGCAAACGCCCTTAATGGAACAAGTCTAGATTTCTCAGGTTCCGAATCTTACTGAGGCTCCTTTTCAATTTGAATGCATCTCTTTGTTTCTCTCATATATTTTCAGAGACTCTAGCGCTCGATTTGCCATAGATATCCGATGATGAGTGAGTGAGTTTAGTTTTACGCCGCACCCTGCAATATTGCAGCTATATGGCGACGGTCTGTAAATAATCGAGTCTGGACCAGACAATACTGTGATCAACATCATGAGCATCGATCTACGCAATTGGGATACGATGACATGTGTCAATCAAGTCAGCGAGCCTGACCGCCAGATCCTGTTAGTCGCCTCTTTCGACAAGCATGGCTTACTGAAGATCAATTCTTACCCGGATTTTCACGATGATGAAATTTGAGACGTTGATCTTGTTGATTATGTCTCGCTGTAGTAGAAGAGTATAATAGACAGCACAGTGTAAATGCTCTGTGATGCGAAGTGCCACCGAAAATGGCATGTCATCGGTGTTGTTCAGAGGTAAATGTTCCACGAATATCCACCGAGTTTCTGTTGATTGTCCGGACAAACACAAAACACACATGACTACTTTCAACAGGCGCTTTACTGTACAATGCAAATAACATTAAAAATATACAGTTTCAATAATATCAAAGGACAATTTGCCCTTTTATTAGAATCATGTGTGATGTCCGAATTCTGAAAGGTAAAGAAAGACTTCTTTTGCTTTGAGAGGTTACTTGTTTTGTCGCCTTGAACCGCAGGTAGTCATTTCAGAGACTAGGGCCCACTTGCACAAAGCGATCCCAATGCTGAGACGATCGTTGCTCCCATAATATAACATTAAGACGGCTGTAGCACTAAGATCGCTTTGTGCAGCGGGGCCCTGATGGCGTAACAGATGTGCTCGACTCCGACATCAAAGACGTACATGACGTCCAACAATGAATGCATGCCATAAATAGCACGAATGCATGGGATACTGACACTGCCATTCCAAATCAAATCATGGTACGTTTTGAAATTTAGCATGTCCAAACAACTGGACTGTTATCTAACACATGGTGCGAACTGTTAGCACTGTCGGATTATATACAATGTATAGTCTATCGATTGTCTAGATTCACGTTGCAAATGTCCGCTAATTCCAGAGTACCGGCGGCCATGACCCAGATCCACAAAGCATTCGAAGCGCTACATCGTTCGTAAGCCATGAGTTGCAATAGGTCGTACGCCAATGAACGCTCTGTGGATCTGATCCACATATTATGTTTTAATTTGCAACAAGGAGCAATGCTAACATAAAAACCTGGGATTCGTACCTTTTTCATAACAATACAAAATCTGACAGACTGGAGTAAACTGGTGTTTTTTCTTATCATACGATATGTACGTACATCGATATATAGTTGCTTCGTCTCATTATTACATGCTTCTTGGTTGCACATGACATACCTGTAATTATTATTATTTATTATTATTATTATACGATATTTATTAAAATAAATAAGAGTACAGCTGTATGTAATCAATCGTAACAAATATCAGTTTTTATTTTAAATTCTTGTTTTTCACTGCGAGCAATGCGGGCTGATGTCGTTACATTACAAGTCCCCATGGTGTCAACAGTCTGAGACAGCTGAAACCGAAGTCCAAATGTGTATAAATCACCATAGCGTTACTACCCATAGCGTAATATTCTTTTCAACAGCCTTATCCTTGTAAACTGTGGTCCGGACAGATCCACGTATATGAACACAACCTGCAATACAGTGTATGTAAACAAGAAGTGATAATAGAGCAGTATAGCTTGGCAAAGGGAATACAAAATACATGGGTTCTTCAAATCTGATTGTGGAATCAACTAGACATTCTCCCCTTTGAAGCTGAATGTTGAGTTGCACGAATTTTGTTATCATGCTGCAGTTGGCCATATTTCTATTGAATATAATAATTCAGAGTTCAAACTGCAAATTGACCAAGTGTTATGAATATAATTGTTCTTTACAATAAACGGACTAGACACAACCGGTAGAGATAAAGAGCTGCCGGGTGCAGTGGCCTATCGATACTTAATCATAACTCTTCTGACTGAAGATAAAGGGACACTCGAACAGTTTAACACACAGGAGCTATTGTCAATAACACACCGGAGAGGACTGAGTATGGAGGCTGTACACATATACACACTGTATTGCATTTGGAAGCATGTCATGGGAGAGTTGTACACAAAAAATAAAAACAAGATATGTCTCGTGACCTTTCCATGCAAAAATATTGTGATCGTGGTTTAACAATTGAAAACTGATAAATGCCATCCTCCATTGTCAAGGTTTTGACCTTGACCTTACTACAGGTGAAGGTCAACGTTCATCAAATCGTGCTTTTATGATTTCTTTCACACATTCACAAAATCACACTTTTATTCGTTTGAACCTTCTTCTCAAAGGGCCAACTTTTGTTTTCATGCTCTTATTCCAGTGCGATAACATTATACGGTTCCTATGTTTTCTTTAATGTAGCACCTTTGGTGGGCGATGCTAAGTCACGTGACGTTGTAGCGCCACCTAGCCGCAGTGTCTAGCACATTATGCTTTGCAAACACGTCCGAAAATGTTCACATATCATCACAGCTGAACAAGCACACAATGCCTTCCACTATCACATTTTAGTTGCGCACCAAACTTGAAGGTGTCCATTCGGTAGGAATCAACGTGATCCATCCTCAACTGGAAGCGAAATGCAGGATGTCCTGTCACATCACAGTCAACACATTAAGTACACTCCACAACCAATCATAACCAGTTTCACACAGTGACCTCAAGGTCTTGCCGGAAGTACGAGTTTGTCCTTGACACTTTGGATGTGGCATTTTGGGAGGAGGAGAACTGGTACATGCTGGGTGCCTTCTCTGATCTATCCGATCTGTCTGACCGTTGTGACGCCATGCTGGACACGCCGCTCGTCGTGGTGCTGCCGCTGGACCGACTGTCTTTACTCGACAACGTCGACGACGCATACTCAGACCCCTCGGCAAAACTCCGCTCAAATTCTGAAAGTGAGGAAATATTTTAATTACTTAAACACATAAGGAAGTTATAGATTTCAGTTTCTCGTAGAGATCCGAGGCAATGAATGAATGAAAACAATACCATGAACCCATAACTAACCCATTAGTTTTCTGAATATGTCCAGTGTTCATTTTAACTTTGTCTATGTAAAACATGAGGATCAATAGAAAAACATCAGTTCTACAACAAAACGTGTGAATGAAAACAGTAAATTTGACAAAATTAACACACTGACTATCAACACGTTGTTCAGTCGTATTTTATGGCACACGGAATATCATTCTCAGGTTCAAAAGGGAAACGTTCTCTAAATCGGCCCGCCCGCTATACCGGTATTTTTGCCGGTCCCAACGCATGCCGGTTTAGAGGGCTTCCGTTATATATATTTACATTGTTTCCTGGAGCAATTAATTGTTTAATATGCATGTTTGATACAGAACCCAGCCACCATCCCTCCACAATATCATATTGGCGACCCTACAAACCTCGTGATAAAAAAACAGTAGTAAAGATGTATGCAGTGCGACAATCATGAATGTTTATCAAGGATATGGCAACGTGATAGAAAGGTAATAACTCAGATAACGCACAATAAGGTCAAGCATATGTGCAAGAAATATTTCTCCCAAGACAAGTGTACAACGGAACACAAACAGTATTCACAAATAGCTATATTATTGACGTCGAATCAATTATTGTTAGATCAACAATCACTACCTAAAATGCCATTTTGTCAGCCTACTTCCGATATATTGATTTCTATGTCATCGAAAATAACAGCTGGTAGGAATTTACGAGGAGAATTTGTTCAGTTGCCATAGAAACAAAGATACTTCCGGTGTCTGAGAATAGCTGGTCATTGTTTACAGTGGAGCGTGGCTGTGTGGGGAGCACCACACCTTCAGTCATCAATGCTTGATGACTGTAATTCTCCCACGAGAGTGGGTGATGAATGTACACTCGGATTCCCAGCGTGTATCTGATTACTTTCAGGATCTCCCGATGTTAACATGCAATCTTATCTTACTACGCGTGACTTCACAGCGAACCATCAAGAATATATGTAATGGATAACATTGATCTAACCCATTTGATGTTTCCGAAAAGCACATTGATTGTTGCAAATTGTGTAGTGGATATCCGGTATGTTTCGAAATGTTCCTAGTGAGTAAGTGACTTCAGTTTTACGCCGCATATTATTCCAGCAATGTCACGGCGGGGACATCAGAAATGGGCTTCACACATTGTACCCATGTGGGGAATCGAACCCGGACCTTCGGCGTGACGAGCGAACGCTCAGACCACTAGGCTACCTCACATCAACTCACATATTCAGAATAGGATATTTGTGGTACCCTGTCATTTTCAAAGCATCCCGCGTGACCTTAAGAGCCGATTAACATGAGGATCGGTTGGTCACAATGAAAGACTAAATGCACTGTAATAATGTCCTTAGATTCAAATACCAAACGTAAACACGTTAAATAATCCATAATTTTGGACACGTTAAGGTTCTATACATGTCTATGAGCTTAATTACATACATGTTTAGATGATGTGCATGTCGTGTTTTGGCTATGAGACGATAGTTCGCTTCATATGTTTAGACTTGTTCTTAGAAGGTGTAGTGTATAACGCGTAAGTCTAAACATGAAACGAACTATCGTCTCATAACTAAAAAACGACATGCCCATAATCTAAATATAATAATCTAATAAATATACCTTGTACCAAAGCACCGTGCTCACCTGATATTTCCCAATCTTCCCAATGGTCTTCATCACCCTCATCAAGGTCATCCTCCGAACATTCCTCCCAGAGAGCCCTTTGTTGTTTAATACTTTCAATTGTCTCCTGGCAACGCTGCAGTTGCCCTAGCAATGCTTTGTCCTGAACTCGCATCGTCTCCTGCAAAAGAATTTACATGTGTCATACGTTTGTATTTGAAATTTTGAAAAAGGATTCCCTAATTCTTTGTTTCAAACGATTAATCTGGTTTGACGTGTGTTCGCTGGAAGTTTTGTAAAACACAATGGAGACCAGGTTGTTCGATTTTGAAAGATGAAAAACCAAAACTTCAGTCAACAATTAGTTCAATTTTCAGTTAAACAGAAACAAAGGTGGACTGAAAAGAACAGAAAATCGATACCAGTCCATGGTCATGGTTGAGTCAGTCAGTCATACACGCAGTTCGCTCTCAGTTACATAGTTATGTCATGCCAGGTTTGTCCAAAGACTTAATTAGTGCTTTGAAGAACAACAATTTAGAAGTAACGAACATTAGTCAAGTACTTTTGGGATATTGACTTCTTTATTTGTCTTGAAGACATAATGACGACAGGTTACTTGCGGATGAACTGATCGAAATGTTTGACATGACATTATGAATGTCACCGTTAACCTCTCAACGTTACGTTCCCAACACATCGCAGCGTGGATAGTTACGGAAACCGACGAAATGGCGTTTTGATCTGAGTTCAGATGCATATTTGATAAGAGGACGAAGTTTCCTAGGGCTTTTAGTTCAAGTACTATGGAAGAGAGACACATTGGTATTTCATGATAAGTCAGATTCCGCCCGAACACGAACGTTGTTTTCCCAGTGCAGCGAGTACATGACATCGTCATGTCAATAATTTATAATGTTTTCGTTCAGTCATTAAACAAGCTGGACTGGGATTTAAGCAAATGGTTAGGAGTTCCTTCATAACTGTATCCATTTGCCAGACATACACACGATCGCGGTACATCTAGCAGTAACCGTGGCATGACCGGGAGAGGACATATCGTGCATAGGGCCGTACAACTAATTGGAGACAGCTTCTGTGTCCACGGCGTTGGGCTGATTGAATACATGGGCCTCAGTTCAGTTGATATTTGTAAATGATGGGTCAGCTTTCAAAACAATGTGCCAAGGATCTTATCAGACCGCTTTCAGCGACATTCCAGCAACATCACGTCGAGGGAATGTCCACATGGACGCATAACTCGTTGTATTCATGTTGGGGATCAAACCGGGCAATAGGTGTGATGAGCGAACGCTTTAACCACTTGATTCAGACTACCACTGACAAAATATAAGGAGTTAAAGTTGTTCAGTGTCAGTGAACCAGCACCTGTCACTGGTCAAGATGGTGTATTTGGGTAAAATATCAATTATTTTACGTTTTGCATGAGAGTGTGAACAGAAGAATATCAAAAACTAGGAATAAGAAATCAAAAGCTTTTAAATGTTTTCCCAACCTTTGGGACATAATTAAACCAGAATCACGCTGATTTGTATAGTGTTGTCTTCCATTGAATCAGTATTGATACCAAGCCTTTAGCCACCTGATCAATAGGTGTTATCGATATAGTGGCCCCGGGGTGCAGTTTCTACTGTAAGGCTTCTAGATAACAGACCGAGGGCTAAGTCTGGTATTCCGATCTGACTGATTCATTTTCTTTCCCCGATTGACGTATTGATGTATTCAACGGCAAAAAAATCGAAACATCATCAGACTCGAAATCGCAACACGCATCTCTGACAGCGAAAAACCCTCTGGCTAGAAAACATTAACTATTGATGTTTGGTTGATTGACGGAATTAGGTAGAATAAACAAGCCGACCATCTAGGGAGGCGATATTCTTAGAGCCGATAGTATAGTGATACACAGTGCCTTAATGTAGTGGCGGCATGTATGGCACCCGAACCTGAGATATCAGAGCTAAGAGAGCGGTGTACATATAGAGAAATTGTTCCTAGTGATTGAGTGAAATTTTTACTTCTACGCCGCTTTCTAGCAATGTTCCAGCAATATCACGGCGGGGAACACCAGAAATAGGCTTCACACATTGTACCCATGTGGGAATCGAACCCGGGTCATCGGCGTGACGAGCGGATGCTTTAACCACTAGAACCACTACTCCACAGCCCCTGAGAGAAATCCATGAGCACGTGCGTGGTGCTGACTTGAACATCGTCAAGGAGATTCTGGGATTCGAACCCACGATAACTTTACACAATGATCTGCGTCGCGTAAAACAAAGTCTGGGCCTCCAGTGATTATACGATCAAACATGAGTTTGGAATGGATGCGTTTCAATCGCAATAACCTGTTCAATTACAGCCTATACACAGCCTCAGCTACCCAGGAGGCCACGAGATCCAATAATGAAGACCATTTTAACAGCTCATATGGCCGAGTTGTAATCACGCCCGCTGTCAGAAGACACCTCTACGAGTCATATTTACGACGACATATGGGCTCCTACTAGAGCCAACAGCCTGACCAGTGTACATAATTGATGACGAAACCTGGGGGGATTGTATACAGGATCGATACAAATCTACTCCGGGAACACCTGGTGTTGGACTGTATAGGGAAACGACGAGGATTGTGTCTGGCTGGACGCCGGGGCTGAATGATGAAGTGTTGAATCTATAGTCCAGCTTTACTGGACTTCGGCCAGTTTTCCCCGTCTTGACCAGTAACGTGTAATTAGGACTCGCAAAGTGTAATTAGAATTGCCTGTATTTTAGTTCACTGTATACCCCAATGAGGACTGGATTGTCTGGTCCAGACTCGATTATTTACAGACCACCGCCATATAGATTGAATATTGCTGGGTGAGGCGGCAAACAACCACCGAACCGAATGAATGACTTAAAGGATTGACCAACCAAGCGACTACTACCTTTTATAGACCTTACATTGGTGACCTTACGGTACCTTCATACAGTAAAAAGAAATATCCTAATTTTGTACATAAATACTGTAATTCCGTATATTTCAGTTGAAATAGCCATAACCTTTAATGCTATTTTTATTTTATTTTTTACTGAAATGCAAGGGCACGTATTTAAATATAACATTCCACATAACCTCCATAATCTATCCCATTCTCACCAGCTGTTGAAATCAATGTATTTGAACCGAGGCTGCATAAATGTACCACAACGGAATTCCTACAATACGGCTATTGTTAGATATATAGACATGGTATACTATGTATTGCCATACTACACGGGCTAAGCCTGACATTGGAGCGATCTATGTGTGGTAGGTAGGAGTATTTGTACACAGGTGATCGATGCGGCAATATACAGGAATTTGATTGACGAAGTAAGTAGGTCGGGAAAGTAATAACCTGGCAAATATCAATAACTACCAATCCATAGTAGGTAAACACGCATCTACAGTTCTTGGACATTGCACACACTATTTCCAGATGCAACGAATAAATAAATGAATGTTGTTTTGTGCTGTCAGTTTTACAAGTGAAGCAAATATAAGATGCATGCTAAAATATACTCATGAAAACGAATAAGGAACACCTGAAAGTACAAGTATTCCTGTATTCTTTTCCAGAATTTCACCCACAGTGCAATACAAAGTTTGTGAAGAAACCCGGAAACGAATAAAGGAACACTTGTACTTTCAGGTGTTCCCTTATTCGTTTCCATGAGTATAATTTTTCTAAAACATACTTCACACATACGAAGTGTGATTCCAAGATTCCCGTGAGAGATCGCCCTAACCTTGCACATTAATTACTTTTTCTCAAGCTTTGTAACCTAGTGTGAGCGATATATACGGTTGTTGCCAATATGTCTGTATTCAAGTACATCGTGACCCAGGGAGCTTGCCTTCACTTCCTCTGCATCTCCCATCTGTCAACATTCATTACTAGGAGCGGTGAGAGATACACCTTGCAGCAGTCTTCCGTACGTTTACTTCAGATATACGGAAACGTACTGGTTCATTTGATAGCTCTTGACATATGCGTGCTTGTGTTTTCCACAAACTGAATTATCGATGATGCCAACAATCCATACACAAGAAATATAGAATTTCCTATTATATAAGATTGTGTTTGGATCCCACGTTTTACTGTTTGCTAATATATAATGAAATAGGTAGGCATTTGTAGACGCTGATACAATAATGCTTTTAGTATTAAGCGCCGATATAGCAATACATGTATTTCGCTATATCACGCCGGCTTGAAAACAGACGGTCCGTACCAAATACACAGAGGAGCAATGACCTGTGGTTAGGATCAATTCCATTAAGTCGCCGGTCCGACCACTCGATCCACATAGTCGCTTCATGCGGCAAAAATGCTCCTGGAAACCTTCTGTAACCTTCTCTAATTTATTTACCAATTTGTTCTTTTTAATAACTGGATTAATCAGACGCATCACAAACATGCATTTAAGTGCATTATGCAGTTGGCGTCTTCGAGACTTCGAGTTACATTCCATGCCCATTAATGCACCAATAAGAAAAAAACACGGAAACCTTTCACAAGAAAGAATTCTTCGTTTGGTACCAAAAGGGCGATACGACTGGAAGCACTGCTTGGGTGCCAACATCAACACCGACATATGGTCACCGATGATGTTGCGATGATGTATGCTAAAGTTAACAAAAGCACGCCACGTGCTGACTACCTCGCCACAAAGAGCTTCTTCCATAGCACCAAAACACCTGGGAAATGTGCGTATTTATATTCTTCTGCACGGGCTGCTTACTGAGCTGTATCGCATTACAACGTGAAAGAGGAAGTGCCGTGTTCTACGGCAAACGGCCTGATCATCTACGCAGAGGTATATCTTTAACCTGGGGTGTGGTTGGTTTCACGTTCCATGTAACCTATAGTTATAGGTTAGTTGGTTGTGTAACGCCGCGTTGAGGAATATTCCAGCTATATGACGGCAGTATGTAAATAACCAGTCTGAACCACACAATCCATTAACTGATATCAGGACTATCTATCTATACAACTGGGATAAGATGATATTTGTCAGCCAAGTACCCGATCCCGTTAGTCGTCTCTTCCGACAAGCATCGGTTACTGAAGACTCAACCCGGATCTTCACGCGTGTGTTAACCTATGGAGTAACAACTGTATGACTGACTGA